TGGTTCGTCCACCACCCTACCGAGACCAACACAGGCATGACTATGCATGCCGAGGGTACCATCACCAAGGGATTTACGGTTAAACTCACACGCAAGACCACCGTCGAAAAGCTCGAGTCTGCCACGGGCACCAAGTCACTCGAGCTGATCAAGCTGCAGTGGGTTGAGAAACGTTGGTGGGACGAGGACATGTTCGCCCCCAACAAGGCTGCCAAGGCGGAGGCTCCCTTTGAGACAACCGCGTATGGCGTAAAGCCTCCCACAGTGACCGAGTGCGCTCCCGTCAAGGAGACCGCCACTGAGATGGCCATGGATAGGATGACCGCCCGTATCAAGCGCAAGGACGACAAGACCTGGGTCCTCGAGTCATGCGAGGCTCTGGTCCGTGCCGGAGCCCTCAAGCAGAACGTCTTGACCTTCCTTGAGAAGCTCAAGGACAGCTACGGCACCCTCGGCGGCAAGAAGCCCACCGGCCCCAATGTTAGCCCGGCCAACCCTGGCAAACAGCCGATCTGCGGTACTCCCAGCAGGGGCGGAGATAGCCTCCCTACTAAGACTAATAGGCCTAATACGCCGAGCACACCTGGGAATGCTACACCGCGTAAGACTGGGAATGCTACACCGGGTAAGCCTGGAAATGGCACTCCAAAGAAGGGCGTCACTGGAAAGCCTCCTGCCATCAACGCGGCTGCTGTCAACAAATAGTGGGCATGTATCGCCTCCTAGCGCAATATTTCCATTTTTATGTTTTGGTTATTTAGACGGTTAGAATACAATGGTGGTGAATCTGGGCGTTCTCTGGTAGAAACAGGCGCTGTTCTTCCATCCTTTCGCTATGTCTGGTTGGTTTGCTGGTAGTGTAAATGGTGTCAGAGTGATAAATTGAGCTAGTACTCAAAGTATATGCAACGAAGTCTCCCCCATTCCGTGCCGAATGTTACCTGGATACTGTATTGGTATTGCTGATGAGAAAAGGAGGACACGGAGCTGACCCTAACCCTCACCGGCCCCCTTGAATCGCCCCTGACGAATTTCCGAATCCGTCATCCCTTCAAATTCCAGTGACATTGACATGAATAGAGGGGTCACCCGGTATTCTCCTCCAAGATTGATACTGATGCCAGCCCAAAACAACATGTTCCTGTCACGAACACAAACACCAGAGTGCAATTGGCCGATACTCCCCAACCAGCCAGCTCATACTCACGTGAACGGCACATTGTACTGCTGGAATAGAGACCTTGACACTTCATACTGGATACACGAGCATGCCTTTAGCTGTCTCAATTTCGATAGCCAGAACTGCGTGTGCCCGCGCCTCAAAGCAGACCCCGAGGTGGCCGGAATAGGTGTACGTGATGTTGAATTTGCGCTTGTTGGCAGCTCCATATACATTTCTAATCAGCTTTCCGATGAGCTCTAGGTAATCCTCGCCTTCTTCATCACTGCTTTCCTGACCGTTATCTCCACGATATTCACCCTCCTCCTCACTCGCACCGATGGCCCCTTATCTCCTGACGGAACCTGGCCGCCTCCATCCTCCCCGGCCCACCCTCCCACTCTCAACAAGATCAATCATGTCTCAAGACAATACATTGCCAGACCATTCGTTGTCTTTCTTCACTCTCATGGAGTCAACATTCCCGTCATAGCCACCTGCGCCACCGAACTCGTTATCTCCCTCTCCGACACCCAGCTCGTCACCGGCCTCGCCGTGCTCGTCGGTGCGCTCGCCTCCCTGTACCGCAGCGACCACGATGAACCAATGTCGGTCTATCATTTCACCGTCGCCTCTGACCTGGCCTGGTTCTCGTCCACCACACATCTCTCCTCGCTGCTGGTTCTCCGTTACCACCCACGAATTTCGGCCAAAAAGGGCCACCGACCCACTCACATCCGGCCCTGGACGGTGCGCCTCCCGTTAACAATACGACTTGTCCTCATGGCTGTTTTCGCCGCTCTTCTCTTCTGGGCCACCACGCTGGGGGGATACGAGTGCTGGTACAGCATCATGGCCTGCCCCGCCAAATGTACGCTGACACACCCCTGGGGCGGCGAGCCGGAGACGTGGGTGGCGGTGAACACGGTGCTGATTGTGCACGGCTACTCGACGCACATGCTGGAGCTCTCGGTTACAGCGAGGAAGTACTGGCTGGATCATCTGAGGCCTCATGTTCTTACTCGGGACAACAAATTCCCTGTGCCGAGGCTCAAGCAGGGCCTTGTCGGGATGATGGTCTCGACAGCCAGGATGCTCTTGTTTTGCTTCTGGAACGCGTTGGGGTCGGATTTGTGTGACGTGCTCGAGATGATGGTTTGGTTTGCACTGGGATGTTTTTGGATTGCCGAAGATCGAAGATGGGGGCAGGCAGAGATGGAAGGAGAGCATCGACAGGCGGAGAATCGGCTAGGGTATGGGCAGCTAATTCCCATCGTCTTGTTATTACTGCCCCTAATAGCGCTTGTTGAATCCTACGCACACCACTCGGAAGCAGACAAAAAGAAGAGGTTTGGGCAGTGCAGTTGTGGTGGCTGTGAATGGCACGGATGCTGAGTGATCTCAAGTACCTTAGGACGGAGGAGCAAGAGAAATTTCATATCCGTATTGGTCGTAACACATAACAAGATCTACCTCTATCCCATGACCCAAACAAAAACACAACCACCATAGGGGGTATCAAGCAACGCCGTATATCCTGTCTTGTCCATCTCAATACCAAGCTGACTTCTTTCCGGCCTCGATGCTGTCGACGATGGTGCACTTTTCCGTCTGGCACACCTTTTTCCGCTCCAGAAACTTCCATTTGGGGCCTAACGGACCGGTGATGTAGTGATACTCACCAAAGAGCCTCCATTGTCGTTCGTCACTGAGAGGATAAACATCATCACCCCAGTACCCATCAAAATGGAACCAGGACGTTGGTGCTTCTGGGTTTGACGACGCAGGCTGTAAGCTCGTTCGGTTTCGACCTGCCGGGACTGCGTTGGATTCCTCGTGATCAACCTCGTAGTCGTACCAATAGGCGTAGTTGTTCAGTGCGGGATCCCAGAGTGGACCCTTGTCGGTGATGTCCTTGAGCATCTTGAAAGGCAAGACGTATGGGTGGAGCCCAGGATTGGCGTACATGGCATGACTTCCAACAGCGGAGTAGATAACTGGACGAGCCGGCTTACCGTGGTTTTGGGACCGCTTCTCCATGGCGTGCCACGTGTATGCCTTGCCGCCGGCATGCTCGCTGAGAAACATGGCCCGTGGAATACCGTTCTGGAACCGGACCATGCAGTGCTCCCAGTCGCCAACGTGGTTGCCAAACCTGATGTTGAGAACCGTCTGCCCTAGATTGTAGCTGTAGAAAAAGAACCAAAAGGCATCCAGGATGCCGGCTCCTTTGTCGACAAGGACCAGGACGGCAGGTGCCTTGGAATACCCGCTGGCGTCGGGCTTGCCTTTCTCCGGAAAGCTACCAACCATTGGCCGCTGAGCAGGTGAAGCCCTTCGCCGCAAGCCTCTCCCCAGATTCTTGGGCGCGGCTATGCGGTGAGGTGGGTGTTGCTTGTCTGCATCCCACCAAGTCGTTCCGTCATCTGCTCTGCGAGGCTGACCGTCGTGCGAGCCCCGGTCCGCTCCATTATTGCCATTCTTGTCGTTATTGTCATTGCCATCATCGTCGTCGTCATCATCGAAAGGGGTTGGAACCCCCACTTGGCTGTGTAACCAATCAGGCCTGCTCTCGACATCATCAACGCTGGTGAGAAAGACAGTCCCATTCTCCCCGTTCAACTGCCCCAGATTGTCCAGCGCCAGGTCTTTTTTCCCATTCTCGCCATCCCACGAGGACTCCACCTTCATGTGCTTGACATGCTCTGCAATATCCGATGGCCAAAAGTTCTCACCAGAGTACAAGTGCACCAATGGGGCATTATCCAGCACAAAGTCGGGTACCGCTCCTTTCTCGACCACTTTTGCCTTCATCTCTCCGCCTCTCCTCTTCAGATCGGCCTCCATCCAGCCCTCCTCTTGGTCCCACGTGTTTTCAAATTCCTCCTCGCCTTCCCACGCCAAAGCCAGCTTTCGTAATTCATCCATGACGGCCTCGCCCATGCCGTGGGACAAGGCTGGAGCATCCCACCGTATGTGCTGAATCCCGCATAGGCCCAACCAACGACAAGCTTGGCGGTCGAGGAAGTTGGGCGAGGAATTGATCCATTTCTTGTCTCGCTCGGTCTCATTTTCGTCAGGTTGCGTGGGCTTGATAGCACGGGGAACAGCCCAAAGGACGAAAATGATGCTACCTAAGAAGGCAAAAGTGTATGAGAGGCGGCGGATGCCGTAAGCCATGTTGATGTTTCTGAGGGTGGTGAAGGACTCGAGATGGGGGAAATGTAGGAATGTGGTGTCACCGCTGCTTCACGTATGCAAGTCCGCATTGGGTTGTTAGGTAACAAATAACCTGGGATTGCTAAGCACCAAGCCGCCAAACGGAGCGGGGACGCAGGATGACAGGATGACAGGATGAGGCGCAGAGATGGGAATAAAGAGTGACAAACCGGGCCGCAGAGTGCGCGGGATGAGGGCATCAACCATACTTGGGAGGAAAGAGAAGAGGAAAGATGGAAAAGGCGAAAAAAAAAGGACCAACAATGGGACAACAAGTCAAGGCATGCAGGAATCATCTGGCCCTGGGATATCCGGGAGTTGGGGTCACAACCTAACGGGAAGCCGGGAGCCCGGCAGGGTCCACGCACGTCAGCCAAGACTTGTACTGGTACCTGTGTCGCAGCGGCATCTCCACTGATGGATGGGTACCTGATCTTCTACTGCTCGAAACTCTTAGCGCTGGACAGAAACCGGAAACCCCGCCGCCAAAACCCATTCTGGGATGACAGGCCCCACCCACCGCCTGTTCACAGGGCAATGCCAAGGATCTGCGACCTGGATGGGCTGGGAGGACATGGCTAGGGTGCTAGGTATGTCATTAATCATGTTTCTCGCTCCTCCATCACTCGAGCTCGTCCCATCTCCGAGGTGTCGGCTGGTTCTGCAACACACTCCCTGACTCGATCCTGTGCTGTGTCCCTACTCTCGACAGCGCCGACGTATCCCTCCGAACCAACGTTGTCCTCCTCGCCCTTGTCCTAGGCCTCCTGCGCCCTCCCGATCCTCTGACAGGTCCATATGGCCTCTGCTCCACCCCCAGCCCAGCCTGTATATTGTCCCTCCTCTTTTCTCGAAGGCTCATGTTCCTCTGCTGGTCACGATGCAGTTTCCTCCTTCTCATTTCCTCGGCTCTGTCCTCCACCATAAGTCGGTTCTGGTGCGTCTCCACTGATGTGATGGTCACTTCGTCCGTCTCGTTACGTTTGCGCTTGAGGGAGATGAGATCCTCGAGAAAGTGCGCTGCGGCTGCCGCTGCCCGCTCTTGTCGCCGCCGACATGAACGTAGATGCCACCGTTGCGCTTGTACCGAGCTGGCAAGTCTTCCTCTTGAGAGTCAACCCCCATAGCATCGTCCTGCTCTCCATGGCCATTCGCAGGGTTCTTGTTGCGAAGAGTGGTCTCTGTAAAGTTGATTCTGCACGCGCTGGCCGCGATCAAATCGATGTTTTGGTTCAAGTTCCTCAGGGCGGGCAGAGGGACTTGTTCGTCGTGGGGGGTGAATATCATCTCGGTGCCAATGTTTGCGCACCATGAACCGCGAAACACGTGGTTGCGGTATGATACCAAGGGCCTTTCCGAGTGTAGGTTGAGTATCTGGATCTCTTCGGCCGGCACATTGGTGTTGGTCGGCAACTCGATGTAGTCTCTATCTTGTCCATTGTCGAGTTGCAACCGGGGATCGACTGGCGGCTCTGTCGGCGCTCGCGGAGGCTGCAGCCCGGAATTGTCGCGCTTGTCAGCTTCTTCCCGCTCGGGTGGTTCGTTATCATCGACATCCTTGTCATCAATGAAGGCCGCATTCGAGGCTTGGGGCTCGGCGGCATTGAACAGTGGGTTGTACCAAACTCGGTAGCCCCCGCGCGTGTTATGGATAATGTCGTCGGTTCGGCGCTCGAGAAAGTCGCGGACAGAGAGATCGAGGGTAATGTAGTAGGTCTACGGAAGGTGTCAGCGTGTGCGACTCACAGGATTTCAGTCGCCGACATGCCTCTTTCTCGGTAGCTGAGTACTCGAATTCCCACTCGTCCTCGTTCTCTACCAGCAGAGCGTGGTTAGCCTCGACCTGCGACGGCATTGCGTTGCGCGCGAGATGTTGCTGCTGAATGAGAGTTGAAGATGAATTACGGGGGGTTGTAGGCTTCGCGGATGGTGTGAAGTAAGGTAGCCTGCCAAAGTACGGCCTGCTGTTCAGAGTCGACACTGTGACAAGTCTGCGGTGAGTTGCTTGGTGGCTTCCGAGGTCCCGTCTGGGTAATGGGAGACTTGCAGGGGTCGCAGCTGAGCTTCCGATGGATTGATTGTCAAAAGTTAGCGGTCAGCATTGGCAGAACGCTGCGCGTCGAACCCGGCATGCCGATAGCGGGGAAACTTGGGCTTATCGCGTGGACCTAGTGGTGGGTTCCGCCATGAAATGCCCCGCGAATATTTTGAATCACTGCCCTGAGGATCACCAGGGGTTGACTCATTGGATAGGTATTCCCGTCGTGCCCTTTCCCACAGACAACATCACCTTGAATCGTCTCGAAGCCTCCCTGGTTGCAGTCGCAAATCAAAATGCCAAAGGTTTATCTTCTCGATTATGTCGCCGGCAACGTGCGCAGTCTTGTGAACGCCATTGAAAAGTGTGGCTACGTGGTCGAGTGGATCCGGTCGCCGGAGGATGTCCCAAAAGCAGAGGTATTGTGTGCTCGCCCTGTGGGAGAGGAGGATAGGGAATACTGACATGCTGGGTATCGCACGTAGAAACTGATTCTGCCTGGTGTCGGACACTTTGGCCACTGCCTCTCGCAGCTTTCCGCCGCCGGCTTCCTCCCCGCGATCCGAGCCCACATCGATGCCGGCAAGCCGTTTATGGGCATTTGCGTCGGTCTCCAGGCACTCTTCTCCAGCTCAGTCGAAGACGCAGACTGCCCAGGTATTTGTCTCATACCAGGAAGTCTCGATCGATTCGACGACAGTGTGAAAGCTGTGCCCCATATTGGCTGGAACAATGCTTCCTGTCCCACGAATCCAAGGCTTTATGGCTTGAGCCCAGATTCGAAATACTACTATGTGCACTCGTACAAATACCCCTACGTCAAGGGCGAGCTGGAAAGCCATGGTTGGGCCGTGGCAACAGGCACATATGGCACCGAAACCTTCGTCGGCGCCGTGGCTAAAGGAAACGTCCTGGCCACCCAGTTCCACCCCGAAAAGAGCGGCGTCGCCGGTCTCCGAGTGATCCGATCTTTCCTCGACGGCTCGGGAGCGAAGGCGCTGGCCGAGCATCTCCCACAAGAAAGCAACATCGCTGCCGAACTCGTTCCCAAAGATGGCCTTACGCGTCGTGTCATTGCCTGCCTCGACGTGCGCACCAACGACCAGGGCGATCTCGTTGTTACCAAAGGCGATCAGTATGATGTGCGGGAAAAGGGCTCTGATCGCAACGTCCGCAACCTCGGAAAGCCGGTTGAAATGGCCAAGAAGTACTATGAACAGGGTGCTGACGAGGTCACGTTTCTCAACATCACTTCCTTCCGCGACTGCCCCGTCGCCGACCTCCCCATGCTCGAAATCCTCCGGCGCACTTCCGAGACAGTCTTTGTTCCTCTGACGATCGGTGGTGGCATCAGGGATACCGTTGACGTCGATGGAACCAAGGTCTCGGCCCTCGAAATAGCAACCATGTACTTCAAATCTGGCGCCGACAAGGTTTCCATCGGCTCAGATGCTGTCATTGCGGCCGAGGAGTATTACAATGCTGGAAAGACGCTGTTTGGAAACACGGCCATCGAGCAGATCAGCAAAGCATACGGAAACCAGGCCGTCGTTGTTAGCATCGACCCCAAGAGGGTTTATGTGCCGAAACAAGAGGCTACACGCCACGCCACTCTCAAGACAAAGTTTCCTGGGCCAAAGGGAGAAGAGTACTGCTGGTATGCCTGCACAATCAAGGGGGGTCGGGAGACGAGAGATCTGGACGTGGTGGAGCTCACGCAAGCCGTCGAGGCAATGGGCGCGGGCGAGATTCTTCTCAACTGCATCGACAAGGACGGCACAAACAGCGGGTTTGATCTCGAGCTGATCAACCAGGTCAAGGGGGCTGTCAGGATACCAGTCATTGCTAGCAGTGGTGCGGGAAATCCTGGACACTTTGATGAGGTGTTTAGGGAGACGACAACCGACGCCGCGCTGGGTGCCGGTATGTTCCATAGAGGGGAATATACGGTACAGCAGGTGAAGGATTATCTGGCCAGCAAAAATTTGGTGGTGAGGAAATTCGAGGGGGAGTTTTGAGATGTGTACAGTTCTGGAGAAAAGCAGGTGAAATTCAAGGTAGATAGCAGCAAGCAATCAGCGTGTAAATGATTGAAAAAAATGTATATACTGTGGCACTGGCCGCCTCAACAGCCCTCTACCTAGACGCGAAAACCTGTCACAGGACATCACCCTCCGTATTCATTTTTAAAATGACAAAAAGAACACACATGCAATTTTTCTCCGTCGTGAGCTAAAAGGAAGTGGTATAGAACGATGCCGCCTCAAGTTCAGAAACCCCACTGAATCAGGTCCTAGCTGAGCTGATGCATCGTCTTGGTCGTAAGAAGAAAAAAACCCAAAGTCGGAAAGAGAACTCCTGGCGCCCACCCCTTAAAGCTCCATGCCCATGAAAAGCCACTTGCTACTAATCACATCGTAACCCGAGGACCAAAAGTCCAACGTCGTCAAGGAAAAGCCAGCCCACTGCAGGCCCTTGGTCAAAGGTTTGGCGTCTTCTTCTTGGATGCATCGCTCAATGGCAATCACCATGTGTGAGCAACCAAGCGGACCATCGGCCAACTCAATCAGTGCCACCAGTCTGTTTCGTGTCAGCAAGTCTGGAGCAACACAGCAAGAGGGTCAATGGGGGGTCGACATACGCCTTCTTCAAATCCCTGCTCACCACATCGCGGTCGAAAAAGACAAACAGGGTTCTGGATTCCACCCCGTCCTCCTCACCAGCAGCGACGTTCTCGGCAAGGAAGGCTCTGAACGAACACCCGCCGGCGTAGTCCCATATTTCCATCCAGGCCGGAATCCCCGCTCCAGCGCCTGCGGGTCCCATAGTGTACGAATTCAAGGGACAGTCTTCGGGCGGAGTGAGCTGGGAAGCATACTGGTTCCGAGTATTGGAATTGTTGTTAAACACCCCCATCAGGACCGAGACCTGCCTCGCCTCGCTTCTCTCACCCAGAAACATGGCGCGCAGCGTCTCGCAAAAGAACCTCTCACATTCTTCCCTGATGCGAAGTGTTGCCCCCCCTCGTCGGCGTGCAAACTCGTGGTTGCCGATGCTAGTATCATGACCACTGCTCTGCTTGCGGCTGACATGACTCCTCGCCTTGGGAGTCAGCGCAAGCTCGTTGTTGGTCGTGATGGCCGCGAGGGGGGGGCTTGATGGTGGCGATGGCAGTCCCGTCGAAGGGACCTCAGGAATACCACTCGGCCCCTGCGAGCCCCGTAGTGCAGTAGTGGAGGCCCTTGAGGGAGGCGAGAGACGGGTCGACGAGGTAGCAGCTGGCGAGGATATTGGCCTGACGGAGAACGTCCTCGCCGTAGTAATTATTACTATTACTGTTACTATTGTTATGTTTCATTGGCGCCATTGCTTCTAGCCACGTTGGCTGCTTGGGATAGCTCTGGGAGACGAAAGGGTGATGGAGGAGGGGTTGGTGCTGTAAAGCCGACTGGGAGAGAGGAAGGCCCAAAAAAGACGGATTAGTCGGTGTGCAAAAGCGAATCGTTGGTCCGGTGAAAGACGTCTGTCTGATGCTGGTCAAGATGGATCGCGAGAATGGTTGGTTTTGGTAGGTTATGCAGTGATGTAGCTAGCAAGCTGTCGGGGTTGGGTGGTGTCAATCGCAGAGATTATCGCTGTCGAAACTGTAGGGGTATTCCAGGGTTTTTGAGGAAGAAAGAATGGGGAGATGGTTTGGGTTTTGTGAACCTGGAAATCTCTGGAAGGCCAAAGCGGCCCAACGATTCGCCATTCAAACAACGAAAGGTGGGGGTGCTTGGCGCCACTTGGCAACCAAACAGATCCCATCACGTGGTGCTCAGGGTGGGGCAGTGGCGGACTGCTCGAGAGCGGAAAACTCGCATCTCAACTCACTCAGCAGCGAGATTTAGTCATCATGCACCGTATACACAACATAATTATCAATACAAGACCGGACTACAAGGCTATTGTTGGTCACAAAAACTACCTTTCGCATTCCGGGACGGTGAACCGGAAGACGGATCTGGGGTCAGTTAGACTAACCGGCCCGGATTGCACGATCGGCGTCCGGTAGGCGGTCAGACCCACAGGGCCGACACCTCGAACCCCTCGGGCTCGGTCCTAGATTTGACGCTCAATCACCCTGTTCTGCATTGAGGTTCTTGGTTCTTGGTTCTTGGTTCTTGTTGTCTATGCAGATACAAACTTGCCTTTTCTTATTTCAACCATTGTGAAATGGAAATATGCACCTCGGTAGCTGTGAGTCCGCTCTACCATTCCCGTCAGTGTAGATTGCGGCTCGCAATGGACGAGTTAGAACAGACTCAAGTCAACCAACACAGGAGCGCCACGGCTGAATCATTGGCTCATCTGTCGGCTATGCACTCTCAGAGGTCGGTATTGCATTGTGGACAGTGCAAGACACACCTGTCGAACCGTGACGCTCTTTCTGCTGAATCCAACGGTTGCGCCTTCTGGACAAGAATTGGATGTGCTTCCCGAGTGGCTAAGTAGGTAGCTGAGCAAAAGCAGGTCTTCCGATCTTGACGACCTCTCTGAACCTGTCGAGTCCTTTGTTCTGTTTGCTCTCTTTTCTCTGTTTGCACAACCTCGACTCGACTGGACAATATAAGGTATTATTGTGATCACAGGATAGCCGGGCTGCGACGATGGCAACAATGCCCAAATCAGTCATCATTGTGAGCACATTGACTTACCAAAACTCCCAGTTCATACATCTGAGCAGCCATATCTAACGTCCAGCCCAGGTTGGCGGCTCCATCGCTGGTCTCCTCCATGGCATCTATCTCAAACGTCATGGCGCCAACGTGATCATCTTGGAACAAGATCCCAACCCCAGGCGCAGTAGCCACAATGCCGGCATCTGTTTTGGTCCCTCGGTTCAGGAATTTCTTCGCTTATACAATGATACGGGTATTCAGGCTTGCCAACCAGCTGTCGTTACCAGATTAGCATACCGTCAGAACCTGTATTGGAGAGACACCGGTATCGTCAGACACCTCACCAGCTGGGGTGTGTTGTATCGGATCTTGCGAGCCAACTTTGACGGATTGGCGTCTGACGCTGTAACCATCCCGCCTCCAGCCAGGGCCGGAGATGGCCAATGCAGCTATCTCCCTGGTCAGAGGGTGACGAGCGTGCAGAAGACATCAGATGGTGTGGTTGTTGGGTATCTGGGCGAGGATGGAAAAGAGAGATGTTCGGTGGCTGATCTGGTTATCGGGGCTGATGGCCTACATTCGACCGTCAGGGGCTTATTGAATGCCCCTGTGGTGAAGGAGTACTCCGGATATGTCTCCTGGAGAGGAACCGTCTGCGAAGCCAAAGTGTCACCTGAAACGGCCAGGTATTTTCAAGATCGGACAGTGCTCAGTTTGCTGAAGAGGACCTACATTGTATGGTAAGTCCGCCAGTCTGTGTTGACATCAGTTTCATGCTAGAAGATCTAGGCGCTGATGTTGTTACTATATAGCTACATAATCCCGCCCGATTCCGGATCCTTTGCCCCTGGCACCAGGCTGATAAACTGGGTCTGGTATTGTAACCTTTCTGAGACCCCTGAGACCAACTTTGCGGAACTTTTAACGGACACCAATGGACACCTCCACGCCAATACCGTTCCTTCCGGACTCGTACGGGCTGAGATTTGGAAGTCTCATCTGGCTCACATGCTTCCCTTGATACCAGGCCCCTTTGCAGAACTCTTTACCCAAACAGAGCAACCATTTATTACCAAGGTGAATGACGCTCTGTGTTCGAAAGCAACATTCTTCGACGGGCGGGTCTTGCTGGTGGGCGATGCACTGGCTACCTTCCGGCCTCACTTTGCCCTTGCAACAGAGCAAGCCGCCAGACATTGTTTAGGTCTTGCAAGAGTGTGGAAGGGGGAGATCTCATTGCAGCTGTGGGAAAGGGAGGCTGTTGATCATGCTATAAAAATCTGGTTAGGAAGCCGAGTGATGGGGGCAGGACTCTTGCGGGGATGGGTTGAGTTTTTGTTACTGGCTTGGAAGTACGTGGTTTTTTTTGCAAGATCAAAACTAGGCTGGAATAGAGTGTGAAGGTTGATCACCTTGTCTCTCGACAGATATCATGGTAGGTATTACTGTAAACATCAACCTCGAGGTGGAGGGGCTCTCCACACGTGCAGATGTCACCGGCACTTGGAGCAGGGATGACCCCGCATGACCACCTGGTTCTCCCACAACTGCTATCGATAAGCCACTGGAAGGCGGGGATCTGTGTCAGGTGGCTCCGTTTGGGTACCAAGGATGTGCACGAGGGAGATGACTCGTCCAGGGCATAGAAATGGGATGAATGGCAAACAAGGTGGTGATTTTAAAAAGACGCTGCTATTCTTTGCTCATTCTTTACAGTCTTGCAAGACAAACTACCGAACTGCCGTCTTATTGTTCGTAGTGTAACGTACGCTAAATGTGGTGATATTGTTGACCACTATCACCATATCACCTAGTATCATCGGACTTTGCTCCCGTGCTGTTTTCTCTTACAATTCTCGACCCTTCAAACTTCTCTACATTTGTGGTTCATACAAATTCGAAACAAAATCACCATGTTTGGGGAGCTCATCGCTCTCAACCGATCATCCCCTTCACCGCCCCAACCAAACTCCTCCAACCCCAAGTTCCCACGCTACCTTCTGCCTTCCTTGGCCTTTACCCTCCGTCGACGAAAACCTTCCTCTCCCACAGAGTATCTAACATTGCCAGACAATCGTTCATCCAAGCCAAAGAATAGGCTTGGTCGGACTTCTCCCTCCCTCATTCGCTGCCTGTCTTGCCGCTCCCATCTTGCTTTTCACTCTCAGATCGTATCCAAAGGCTTCCATGGACGCCACGGCAAAGCTGTTCTCGTTGCCCCGACCTGCCCCTCCTTTCACGATGGCAGGAGCCCAGAACAGAGCTTCTCTTCGCCCAATCTGGGTTTGAACAACATCCGGCTGGGACCCACGGAAAAAAGGCAACTGGCCACTGGTCCTCACGAAGTTGCCGATATCTTTTGCGCCATATGCGAGACAAAGTTGGGATGGAAGTACGTCAAGGCGGATGAACCGTCTCAAAAGTACAAGGTTGGAAAGTTCATACTGGAGGTTGTGCGAGTGGTTGTGGAACAGGGACTAGAGTTTGAACCGCTGGAAAGGGTCAGTAGTGGAGATAGGTCCGGGACCGAGGGTGTGGCAGGTGTCCTATTTGACTCGGACGACGAGGATGAGTGTGAGGAGCTGTTCAACGGCGTGTGGAACGCCGAGGATGTTGCGGCAAGGCGAAGGGTGGATGTAGGGCTGGAAAGAGGACACGAGTGAACGTGAAGTTCTCTTGGCCAGATGAGCTGCTTATGGCCTACAGGTAGACCCAAGGGCGCGGCACTTTTCTTCTTCTTTGGGATGATACCCTTTCTACATATATTGGATCAGATAGCAACAGCAATACTCAGATTGATGGCGCATCCGGGGGATATAGAGGAAAACCAGGTCAGAGAATAGAATGATATTGGCAGAGATTTTATTGAAAAGTTGAATGACACACCAAGAACCTAGTTTTGAGGCTCCTCGGCAACATAGTGCAGGTATGCGCCCAGAAGCTTGATGCCCTCAATATAGTTCCGCTTGTCGAGCTTCTCGTTGATGGAATGGGCACCATCCGTCGAGCTACCCATTGGCAAAAGAAGCACATTCTTGCCAGTAGCCTGCTCAAAAGTGAGCGTCACCGGAATAGAGCCGCCCTCGCGAGTGAAATCGGGCTGAACGCCCCACACCCGCTCGGTAGCTTTGGCAGCAGCCGAAAAGTTCCAGTGCTTGGGGCTGGCCACCCACCAGTTGCCGCAGTGCTGGGGATACACCTTCATTGTGTTCTTGGAACCAAGCTTCTTGAAGACATCCTCGACGTACTTGGCCACACACTCGTTGGTCTTCTCGATCTCCATGTTGGGCACCGTGCGGATGGAGAACTTGCCAATGACCTTGGCGGGAATGACCGTCTTGGCACCAGGAGCAGAGAAGGCACCCTCGACACCGTGGATAGAGAGCGAAGGGTTGCGCCAGCGGGCCATGAGCGTCTTCTTTTTGTCATCGAAAATGGTCGTCTTGCTACCCAGAGACTCATAGAGGGTCTCCATGGTGAACGAGATGCCATCGTAGAGACCGTCCTCCTCGGCAGTAAGGGGGGCAACTTGCTCAGCAATGCCAGGAATCTGAATCTTGCCATCCGTGTCCACGAGCGAGCCCAGGATACGCACCAAGTCGGTCATGGGCTCCTGGGCTGTGCCACCAAAGACACCGCTGTGAAGATCAGCGCCGGGTCCGGAGACTTCAACACTGTAGTAGTTGCACCCACGAAGGCCGTATGTGAGGCAAGGGCGCTCGGTTCCGAGCCAGTAGTTGTCGCTGATGCAGACGGCGTCGGCATCGGCAAAGTACTTCTTGGCCTCGGCGTTGATCAGATCGTCCAAACCGTCGGAACCATACTCCTCCATACCCTCGAAGCACATAAGAAGGTTGACGGGGAACTCGATGCCGGCGGCCTTGTGAGCCTCGATAGCGTTCAGCCAGCCAAGCACAGGGCCCTTGTCGTCCGTTGAGCCACGCCCCAGCATGCGGCCATCCTCCTTGACAGTCAGCTCAAAGGGCTCCGTCTCCCAGCCATCCTCCTTCTCGGCCGGCTGGACGTCATAATGGCCATAGACCAAAATGGTGCGCTTGTTCTTGTCACTTCCGTAGCGGGCGAGGACGACGGGGGGAAGGTCGAGGTCGGTTCCCTGCTGCTTGCCCAGAGGACGAAGCTCGGCCTGGGCACCAAGCTTGTTCAGCTCATCGGCGAGCCAGTGGCCCATGCGGACGACATCGGGACGACGGGCGGCTTCGGACGAGATGGAAGGAATGGCAATGGCCTGACGGAGACGCTCGATGAAGGCATCGGACATGTCGTCGACCTGCTTGAAGTAGCCATCGAGTTGGGGTGCCATTTTTCTTGCTTGGAGGTTGCGGATAGCTTCGGTTAGATACGGTCGGGAGCTCTGCAGCTGAGATCTGGCAGAGGTGGTGTTGGGGAGAAATGGGCGGGTGGTAAAGCTGCGGGAGGTGGGAGAGGTGATGGAAAGTCGAAATGGCCTCGCCAGCTAACGATAACGAGGGGCGCTTGAGGAAAGCAAGCTGACTGGTAGAGAGAGGGGAGAGAGGGGTGTGCGGGGCATGGCGGATGAGCAGAAGGTGTTGAACCGCTCTAGTTTGGGCCGGCACCGTCAGCTTCCATCAAGCTTCGAAAAGCCCCGCACCCCACAACAAGCCAATCCCCTGCGCTAAACTGTTTGTGGAAGTTAACAAATCCGCTTGATCCTCGCCCCGGGCTCACACGACTTGGAGGCATTTATTTGTGCAGCAAAACCTTGCAAGACACATCCAAATATCTCGATGTCATCTTAAGGTTTGAGGTGATGCATGCGATAGGTTACCCCAAGGTTTATGGGCGGTATCCCATCACTTGGTGACCATCTCAGGCACCAAAGCTCAGGTTCCACCCCAAAGTTGAACGATGATCTGAGGAGTCGCAGCACAGAAAACACGGGAATTCGATTTCTGACTCCCCATGTTGCCGGTGGCAGAAACACCATGCCTTACCTACGCAATAAAGATGTCGAATATCATTTTAGTTTCGAGAAGACAAAAAGGCTGTCACATCATGTGTAGAAGGCCTTAGGCCGCAAGTTCAATGATACCTGTCCATCCTACTTGCGTGAAAAGCTACCAAACAGTTCGACTTATCGCTTGAAATTTTGCTTTATATGAGCCGCGAGAGAATTATCTTTATGCTTTGAGGCATTGAAGCAAACAGCTGGCAATTACGTTTCTGTCCATCTTCAGTGCAGATGGAAGTTGGCATGTGGTGGTCCACTTGAAGTTCAAGTGGGGCCGTTACCCCCTTTCCATAACCCCTATCATTGCCATAGCAACGTGTATTGTGTCGCCAAACCGTGTTTGGCTCAACCTTTGTCGTTGAATGCATTACCTGGAAATTTCCTGGTCACAGAGCATGAAACAAATATTTGCAACATCGTCAATTCATCCCGTTCCTTTTGCGAGACGATGGTTGGCCGATCCACCGCCCCAGAAACCGAGCTACTTTGTACTATGTAAAAGAAATAAGAAGAGAAATAGCAAACAAGTAAACACACTCCTCCTTATATACAAAAAGCTTTGGGAGTGCCAGTTATCACTGGTTTGTCTAGAATTTCCCGACTCACCCATCTGTGTATCATCCCTCATCCCTCATCCAAGTCTTTCCCGGGTAAGTCTCCTCCAGTCCCGATCTAAAAACAGACCGCCAATCTTCCTATCCAGAAGTGGAAACGATTTAAGCAACGCCGTTGTAGGCGAGCTTGTTGATGGTGCCGCTGGGAACGCTGGTGATGACGTTGTTGGTGGCAATGCTGGCAATGTAGGAACAGAGAGCAGCAGGAGTGCGGCGGCCCTGGAGGGTTAGGAGGTAGGCGCCGAGACCGGCAATGTGGGGGCTGGCCATGCTGGTACCGGAGATGGAGCGGGTAGCGGAGGTACCACCAATCCAGGTGCTCAGAATGTTGGTGCCAGGGGCAAAGATATCGACGACGGCACCATAGTTGGAGAAGGTGGAGCGGGCATCGTTGCTAGCGGTGGCACCGACAGTGCAGACAGAGGCCTCGGAAGCGGGGGAGTAGTTGGCAGCGTTGGCGTTGTCGTTGCCAGCGGCGACAGCAAGGAAGACACCGGCGCTGACGAGGTTCCTGGCAGCAGTGTTGATGGAGGCAGAGTAGCCACCGCCGAGGGACATGTTGGCAACAGTGCCGTTGGGGCAGTTGCGGCTGGGGAAGTTGGTCTGGACATAGTTGATACCAGCAACGACACCGGAACTGAAAGAGAGGGTCAGTAATGCACAGATACTTGGCCAAGCAAGGCTGTACGTACGTGGAGCCGGAGCCGGAGGCGTTGAGGACCTTGACAGCAATCAAGGTGGTCTTCTTGGCGACACCATAGAGGCGACCGCCAACGGTGCCAGCGACGTGGGTGCCGTGGCCGTTTCCGTCGGTGTTGGAGCTGTCGACGTGGTTGCTGCCCCAGATGGCACGACCTTGGAAGTCCTGATGAAGAGCGTAAGCTTGGTTGCTTTACAACTTTCGGCGAAGAATCGTGCAGCAAAAGAAAAGATACATACCGAGTGGGCGGTGTAGATACCAGTGTCGATAATGTACGAGCAAGTACCGGCACCGGCGCTATCGTCGTAGCGGTAGGTGGTGCCACCAGGAGTGCGGCTGGAGATGCGAGCAAGACCCCAGGGAGCACCAGTCTGAGAGACGACGGCGTTGATGGTGAACTCGGCCTCCTCCTCGACGTACTCAACCTGCGCGAGGGGTTAGTTCTGATCTGCTGGTCAGGATTCATCTTGATGAGTTCTTACCTCGGGGAGGTAGCGGATGGCCTCGAGGGAAGCATCGTCAAGAGCACCAGCGAAGCCCTTGAACTTGCCACCCTTGTAGATCTGGTCGGCCTTGTGCTTGCCGAGGACCTTGTTCACGACGGCATCGGAGGCACCATCCTTGAGCTTGACAATGTACTTGCCGGGAACGACCTTGCCAGCGCGGGCCGAGATGATCGGGGCGCGCTTGTCAAGGGGACCGGAAGTAGCCGGGGCAGCGAGAGCCGCAGGCAGGAGAGCCAGGAGAGCAGCAGCCGAGAAGAGCATTTTGTCAGAGTTGGACCGGGTAGGACTGGAGAGGTGAGATGATGATGTTGAGGATGAGGGTGAGAAGAAAAGAAGACCATCATGAAGGGGAGGGTGTGGTCATATTTATGGTTATTGGGGCCCATTAGATCCAGGAAAACGCCATCTTTGCCATGTTGACGGGAGACAGACGACCTTCCGGTTTCGTTTACCAGCACGTCATGCTGGGTAGGTAGGCCAAGGGTCAACGTGGGGAGCCAGGGAGGCGCTCAAGGTTCGCATACACAGAACTGCTGGGTGGTTGACATCGCGGCGGAGAATGAACGACAGCAGTGGGAGGCAGCAGTGAGAGTGGCCACACCATCCAGCAGCGAGCAGCTCGCGGCTGTGAACAAAGCTCTCAGCAGGGGGAAGGATGAGGGACAAATAATACACCTTCCCACTTTGGTTTGCTCAGCCGTCCATGGCTACGCCCAACTACGCCCCGCAAAAGAGAGCGGGTGCTCCCGTGGTGTAAGGAGCCAGGTAGCTTGAATCTACCTGTCTATTCGGGGGCAAGCCGGTAGCTTGCCCATCGGCGCCAAGTGTGGTTAAGCCCTCAGACGTCGACTACCTTACGGATCGGGTTTAACTCACCAAAGTGCCGATCTTGCTGTATGTAACTGGGGGCAAAAGGTACCGGTGCCCAACGTCTTGACGAGGAGTCCCTGCAAGTGAGCCTGGGCGTCTATGTAACCGGCTTCGAGAAGCGCTGGGCACAACGGTGGCAGCTTAACACAACCACTGATATGATGCGAGGGGATAGCATGGTACCAGGACTGGACTCAAGACTTGCCGGCCATCTTCTTGACCAACCCTATCGATATTAACTAAGACAACTTCGACATGGCACGAGCACAGTCGTTTCGGAAGTTTGTCTTGGTAGCTCACATGTTCCTCGATATCTCCAGATAGGCCGTTGCACTGCATTCACCACAGAGCATGTGGTAGGATTGTGGCGATCACCTTATCTCTCGATGCCACTGTGGGATGGTTGAGGACGTCTCTAGACCTTCTAGAAGTTGTTCACAGTGGACAGGCCTGGCTGGTGGCGTTCGTTAGTTTGAATTCAGGTCTGACTTCAAGGCTGATTCACAGCTGGTCTCCCCACGCTTGAACCTTTGGACGAGATACCGTGCTAATCGTGGTGATTGTGCCAACAGATTCGATGACAAACTGAAGGGATCCCAAATCTCCAGAGACGATTCGGGAGGTTTGGGGGAGTTGGTCATGCAGACCATATCTCGATGTAACCTTGTCAAGGGTGTCCGCTATGGCGCGATCGCATTGGTCCATCAACCTGCAACAGACCAAGCTTGACGAGTCCTGATCCGTGCAGACGAGCGGCAAGGAAGCCGACGTCCTCGGGAGTGGCGGCGATGAAAGTGGGGTGTCTGGGGAAAGGTGAAGGGGACTTGCCAGAGACTGCCATCTACCGATAGGTCCGTGTTCGCGTGCGCGGTGACCGATGTTTTGTCGCACGAGCTGGGCAGGTGGTATTGAAGAACTGAGGTCATTGCTGACTAGTCAACTCTCAAAACATTGTTTTTGGTCAGTTGAGGACCCTCTGGGGCTCCGAGGTAGTTTTGCTTAGCTATCGAGGGTTGCTTGGTGTCTTGGGCCGTCCCAATCGCTAGGTTCTGTCATCCCAAGTCCCGACTCCCGGGTGTTTTGGGTAAATTGACTCTTCTTTGTTGCGACGCCGACTTGTTGGTCGAGACCAAGTCGGGCACTTGAATTCGCTTTTTACCTCTTGGGTGTTCCTGCAGCTGCCAGCGGCAGAGTGCAAGAAGCAACGAGAATCAACCCCCCACGGGACCATATGCAGCCACACATCCACGATATCTCATCAGACAGACAGCGAAGATGAAGTGAGGTGGTTGGAGGGTTGGAGGGGTAAGGGGCAGAGGACGAAGAGGGGGAGAGTGTGGGGTGGTGGATAACTTGGCGGCCGGTGAACATGTGCTTACCCACTCTCACTCCGCTAGCAATCGCCCATGACACCATAGCAGCCGACATGGATCATTGCCGGCCCTTATCGTGCTCGCCTTCCATATCGGGTAATTGCCAAGTTCCGTCCACCTGTGCCCTGTTCTCAGTTAGTCTGTCGTCCGAATGTAACTGGCCTCGCTGGCTTACAATTTCCGAGGCATGATGAGGGGATGCCATCAAGGTGTCTCGAGTGACTGTTGGCTAGCAGTGATCTGCATTTGCGCCTTCCAGCAGCTCTTGTTTAACTTCCGCATTCAGGACCGCTAGCCGATGTTGTGATACCTCCGACCTGACACTACACGCATTACGGACATAACAGGTAAGACTGCGGGATTACCATAGGTACCCAGCATGTCGATGGGGTGGCTTTCGATAGTTAACCAGCCGCAGACTGGGGCAACGTGCAGGTTACACACACCATTGGTCTCGACTCAAGCCACTTCCCCTGAATGTCATCCTACAGCCATCTCCCCACGACCTAGAACCCTCTACATCAGCTTCCTATTGCAGCTGCCGATAGAATCATCTTCACGAGCTATCGATCGAATTACCTACCTTGTAGGTTCTATTTTTGAAGTGCTTGGTGGGGACATGAATATCGCTGATCACCTTTGAAGATGTTGATTACAAGGGTATTGGTAGGTAGGTACCTTGCAGGTTACCGCCGACCACCATTTGATATCACCTGTAGGTAGCTATGTATGTCTTGGGAAACCCTTTCGTCATAAAGTCTATCAACCCAAGACACGATATACCTCAACTCCTGCATGCCTCTCCCGACCAGTATACCACAGTGGCATTGGCTTCCCCACCATGGGACAAAGTCTTTGCGGCTGCTCATATCGGTAAGGCTGGCTGCATGTTCCCATTATAGGCCCCGTTCTGCCAAGTATGATGGCATAACACGCAGTGTATCTGTGTCGGTTGCGGGGGCAAAACCTCAATGTAGAAGCTAGCAATGTGATGAGAGGATAACGAGGGGTGATTCCATCGTCCAGACCTTGATGACTCCCCGCGGCACCTCAGGGATCGATGATAGGACTGTTGTAGTCACCAAAGGTGGGGTTACTACAATGCATAGCTTGGTATTGAGCAATCATGTCCATTGCCTCTTGCTGGTCTTTGACCTGCCAAACTTGAATCGCAAAGCCTGGGTACGTGGAGTATGCCCGATGCACGAAAAACGCGCAAAATGCCCAGGTATGTGTTAAGCTAGGTTTCGGTACAATGATTAACCAGACTGAGACACAAGGGCCTTGACCAAGGATTGACAGTGTCAAGTAGCAGTCAGACTACTGCACCAAACCATGAAGAAAAATGAGCAATGCATGCCGCCATTGCTTTGACCGATGGTGTATAAAGGTACCTTACCCTATGGAGTGGCACTCCACCAGTCTCTTCACGGACAGAATCGATATTCGTCTTCCCATGAGCCGGAGCATTGGTCATGCAGTAGTCATTTTCCCAGCTCCTAACTACATGGACGGGAAGAATTCCACTTCCACTTAAAGAATGAACATATGCAGAAAATAAAAATCGAGAAGGGCATATCTTGAGAGATTTACTGGCCAACTGATGATTCATTGTCTCGGTGGGTGCTCTTGAACCGTTCACTCCAGCCAGCTACTCATTTGGAGCCAATAGCCCCAGCGGATCCAAGACACCTACACAACCAGGTCTTCTAGATCAATTGTCATCTATGCCCTTAAAGCTACGCTTTCATTGCATCTTCTAACTTCGGTAGCATGAGCTTTTGTTTCTGAGTCTATTCACTTTCTTTCCGATAGATGAGCTCAGATCTCCTAACCCTAGTCAGCAACTGGCGGCAGGAAGGAGGATGTTTACGTTACTTAGTTATGCCTAGGAGAAGACATTCGAGAAAAGACTTGGTAATATCGTATTAAGGTGAGTCGTCTATTTCTGTTTCCATTACAACGATGATGGCTATCGTGCTGTTGGAAGAAACAAAATGCAAGGGAACTTTTGACCCGCTTAGCATACATGCATAGTGTTCGCCTACCTACCTTACTTACTATCACCAATCCAATGATGGCGGCTTCTATTCTTTACATAGGTGCCTGTTTCTACAAAGGGTATCGTGGGGATTACCTATGTCACTAGGCGTGTTTAGGCCTTTCGAAGACCTTTCTATGTGAGTAATCTGCCCTAGTTATTTAGATTTGGTGAGTTCTTGACGGGAACCGTCACAATGGATAGGTACCTTCCCAACCTAGAACACCGTAGATGTCTGTCTTGGTTTGAATTACGGTTTCAATTTTAAACTCTGCAGCGCATATAGTTCAACATTAATATGTGCTGAGTTCTTGAACCCAGACGGTTGATTTGGGGCATGAAATTATAACTGCCTATATCTAGACTCAAACAGCACCTAATCCACCAACTGGTTCCACTAAGCTTACTAAATCCCTCCTTCTACCTTCACTCATGTGTTATTATAATTCAAGCCTTGCCTTTCTGTGCTTTTTAACGTGTCTTAGAGTCAGGTTTCTAGATCCACAAATTGCTTGAAGCATCATACGAAAGAAGACGGTCTTATTCGACGGGATAAACCAGTCTGTACGCTCGTGAGGAGCTTGGAACCGGCAAGACCCACCCTTATAAACCCAAGGACTTATAGGATATAAAACAATATACTTAAATTGTCAGCTCGGGTGTTAAGTTGAGCAGAGTACCTGTCTACTTGTGCAGGAGAGGATACCGCCATGTCTTTAAATGCCTTCTTTTGTCTAGATACGAGAAGTTGCAAAAGGGTTCCACGTACCTAGCTACCCCAGAGAAAATCAGATTCATCGTCCAGAACGACTAAACCTACCATCACGTAGGTAAGGCTATTCATACCTCATCTTTTTGATGGCTAGGTACCTGGTTAGTAGATAAGATAAGGATTTTCACATTGGTTCGAGAACCTTGCCGCCCTGAATCTGACAGCTTGGCACCATCACATTGCAGCCAACAGGAAATGTCTCCGCCAATCGTAGGGCGCAGAACTCTGACCGTCGTGCATTTTCAAATCTGTTCCAATCAGGCGGGACAGTGGCGGTTGCACCCATGTCTACGGTTTTTTCCTTGCCGCTCATTTTTGCACCACGAATCACCACACCCTCGCGCGAAGAAAGCGTGCCCAGAGTACCTAGCAGCTACGTCGACACCTAGCACTATCATGGAAAGTGCTCGTGGTTCGTAGCAAGAACATAATTGTCTTGTGTTGCAAGTATCTGTCATGATTATCGAGGGCATATGTGCGTACATCCTGTACCTAGGTAGGTATGATAGATGCTCATCAACCCCAGTCGCCTCTTGTGTGGCACAGAGAACTGGATTGGGCACAAACCATTTTGCAGTGCCAGCACGTGGGGTTTCCTTGGCCATGTCTGTCAGCCCCCAGTTGAGATATTCCCCGCAGTTCCACAAGTTAACCGTAACCGCGTGGGACTGTCCGCAAGCAACCTTCTTGAAGCCCACAGTTCTCGGTTATCCCCAGGTGTTTGGATGTCAATATTTACGGCATCGCGTCAGGGACAAACACCTAAGGGAACAATGTTTCGTCAGGAATTCGAAACGGGATCACGGCAACATGATCTGCAGAGAACCACACCGACTCCTGCAAAAGCCGGCTCTCGAGAGCTGACATCCGGAGCATGCATTCCCCCGGAAGAAGGGTCTGACGCTATTTTTGAGAAGTCATCTCGACACGAATGGCCCTCAAATCGTACCCTGCAACATCAATATGATGAGCTTGCCACACCCAGTTCCACAATTGCCGAGTTTGGAGATAAAGCTGCCAGATTCATCGTTCCCTCAGCCACTGTTCTAGTCGATCATGTTCACCGATCCTGGAACGATTCGCGGGATGGATCCCGTTCTGCCAGTATCAGCAAATCGCGCTCCAGGAGCTCTTCAAACCGTCATCCCCATGAGCGAAGACGTGGGCGCGGTGAGAGACGGGAAGGTAGCCGAGATAGAAGCATTGCATCTGTTTTGTCCCTCGCTGAAGAAGAACAATCGCAAACCAGCACGCAGAAGCAGCATCGTCATGCTAGGAGTCAGGTGCCAAAGAGTACGTCGGTGGAAGCAATGCGCACCGACGAGAAAGTCGACCGGTTTCTCAAATCTATGCGGCCGCACCAGTCCCCAAGCCCTCCTCAGGCTTCTCAACTTGGAAAACCTCCAGGATTCGAAAAGCCGAGCGGGATCGACAGCCTCAGTGATCTAACAGCTGAGAACAAGAGTCTTTATCAGCGCGTTGCAGCACTTCAGCTCACCGAAAGGGAGCTGTTGGCGGAAAACCAAAACCTGATACGACAGGTGGCCACTTTGAATCATCAGCTTGCTGCGGCAGTGGAAGAGCTAGAGGCATCAAAGCAACAACAGGGTATTCACAATCAACACTGGCACAGATTGTTCGCAGAGAAGGAGGATCAGTATCAAAGTCGGATCCATGAATTAGGCACTCAACTTGTCGAGCTTTCGAGCACCCACCCAAACCCCAAAAAGTCCAGACCGTTGGCTTCAAATGATGAGATAGCAACTTGGTTCACTGATCAAGACGCTGCATGGAGAGCGTGGGCTAGGGTATATGGGCACCGGGATCCCAGTAGATTGGTGGACGGGCTACATCCAGCACAGTTACAAGAGATATGTGCCGAGGTTAGGGGTTTTGTGCAGCTTACGAATCTGGAAAGGCTGCCGGTTGCCATCTTGCATGGAGGAAAAGAAGCTGCCCATACGCTTTTGCAGGCCATGTTGGCCAATTTCTTTTGCGACGAAGTTTTGGAAAGCCCTTATTGGGTATTCACGGCAACCTCTTTGGGTACCTTGGAGAGCCCTAGTGCCAGCTTACCTCCACATGCTCTGGGCTCTGTGAGCGAAGGGTTGAAAGTGAACATGGATGCATTTGGCAGCGGAGGCAACAACGTTGCCGGTGTTCGGGAAAGTGTTAGGGGCTCTGGCTATGGCTCCGGCTACCAGGTGCCCAAGAGCCCAAAGTATCCACCGCCGTTGATTATGTCCATGACACATTCCTTGGGGGCAGGATGTGCATCCATGCTAGGGTTGCCCCTGAAGGGTGACATGGAGAGGCTGCAATTCATGCTGGAAGATTGTACGTTGACTGCTTCATCTACCTACCTTACCCGTCATTCCCTGCTGACCTCAGGACCTACACAGCCCAAGATCCTTCGCCCTACTCTCAACAAGCGCATTGGCGAGCTCACATGATGCGGTTATTTGCGACAGGGGGCATGGCTTTGAGCCCTTCTTCCTCATCTTCGACATGCTCAGCATCCTCCTCCCGACAAGCGCTCATTGATTCACGGCTGAATTACGCTCGAAAGCTCCGTGACAGATTTTTGGGAGGTGCAGCTCGCTTTTTGCTCCATGACCAGGATGCTTTGGGAATTGAACGGCTTGAAAGGGTATTGACTGAAATGATTGACGATGCATTACGATTCTCATGCAAACTCTGGAGTCGGCCTGGAGGAATTCGTTTGAAGAGGTGGAAAGATCTACCCGAGTTCAAAAACGGGTATAAAAACGGCATGAAATCCGTCAAGATCTGCCAGGCTCAGGATAAGAGCTATACTGTGCTGAGGCAAACAATGGCCGACCCCGGGAAAGACGAGGAGAAGGAGGACGAGAACGAAGGGAGACCAGTCATCATGGTTGTCCAGCCAGCTGTAGAGGCCGTTATTGACACCGGTCATAGCGAAGCACCATCTCTGGTCTGGCTCAAGGCAAGGGTGATGGTTGCTGCACCAGTTGAGGAGCCCGTCCCTGGCAGCGGTGCTAGTGACGCAGGGTTTGCACCCTCGCCGGTAACTGCGAGAGGCGAAGCATTCTTTCCACCAAGCAGATCTGCCGGAGAAGCCGACAGACCCTCACATGCGTTCAAGAGTAGCAAGTCAAGCGAGATATTGTCTGCTGTTTCATATGTTGGACATCCGGTCGGGGAGAAGAAAGTGTAACTTCAGGAGGCGGATGAAGAGTCTAGAGGATCTAGGTAGGTACGTAGGTAGATATAAATAACCCCAGAGAAACTTCTGTCCCAAATATTAACACCAACCCATCAAATCAAGTAGTACCTGCCTACTAACGTATTTTATAAGCGAGTCGTGGGTACAAGCGAGCCGTGGGTTCCTTGGCGCGACGCATCCTCTCTCTCCTAAACATCATTCTTTTCCACAACCTAACATGTCTCCCCCTTCAAAGGAAGCCAGAGTAATGCTTAGCCCTTAAAGCTCTTCAAAACAACGAAGAATTGAAGCTTAAAGCCATAGCTAC